TGTTCACTAGATGTAATGTTTTAGTTCCTTATAAACAGGGCTGGGGGAGGGGAAGGGTGTGCAAAAACTAACATTGAAATTTTGAAACAGCAGCAGAGTGAATGAATTTTATTTTTGTTCATTGTTGGTGATTGAAAAGAAAAATCCCCCCCATGTAATTATTGTGAACACCTTGCTTTGTGGTCACTGTAACGTTTCCAGGTGGGACAGGAAGAAAAGGTGACAATAGTCCACATGTCCTTGGCATATGTCCAGAGCAATGTGCAGAGTGTAATGCTCTTTTGCAAGAAACATTTTATGATTTAAAAAATAAATTTAGCGAACTTGAAAAAAAGAAGAAATATTACATTGATCGTATGTGGGTATAACATATTTGTACTTTTACAGTTATTTAGTATTAATATGCACTTATAACTAGTTTTTAAATTCTGTGTGAAAGCTTCTTTTCTAATTTAAAAAATTGTTTTTTTATTCAAATGTATTTGAGGCAAATGCTGTATAAATCAAAACTAATTTATGGATTCAGTTGTGTATGTGTTGCAGCTAAGTGAAGGAGAGACGATCAAGCCGGTTGAAAATTCAGAGAATCCAGTTTATCCTGTAATCCATCGTCAGTATATTTACTTTTTATCTAGTAAGAGAACTAAAGAAAAATTTATGAAGAACCCAATCAAATATATTCGCCAACCCAAACCTAAGCCCACTGTGCCCATTAGGATTACGATCGTGGGGCCTCCAAAATCTGGGAAAACTACAGGTGAGCACGTGTTTGCCTTCATTTTTCTCAAGCATAAGAGGGCCCCCTGAAAACTAGTGTAATTTCTTCATAAAACTATCGAAATGAACTGTAAAAGAGATGGAAGAACTGGCTGTAGTGCAGAGGTTAAGTGCTATGCGTAGAAAGCCAGATCTGACATGTCTAACTGGGGTTCAAATTTCAGCCTTGGAGACTTGAAAAAAAACGCCCGATGCATGTGCATGGGTGCCCAAAGCCTCTTTCAGGAAGGAGAAATGGAGGAAAAAGGACTGCAGACTGCATGGTGACCACACCCCGTTGGGGCACATGCTCTCCTCCCCGCACCCCTCCTCCACCCCTACCACCTCTCACCAGTGAATCTCTGGCAACTGAAAAAAAATAAAGAAGAAACAGAAAATCTAAGTAGACCAAACCATTCGGGAAATAGGATTCAAAAATATAATTCAACTCCAGCGTAGCCCCAAATCAAATGGTTTTAGAGAAAAATTATATCAAACTTTCAAAGAATTAAAAATTGTGGACCTAATTCCCCTTTTTGTAAAATCTTTCATAGCAGGGGAAAGACAGCTTCCCAATTGACTTTTCTTTTTTTTAACTATTTATTTTATTTATTATTTTTAAGTTTGCTATAGAGCATGTGTATAGAGGGGGAAAGCGAGGAAGCAAGCCACCAGGTCCAGGACTTCGCAATCGTCCATGTGGGAGTCCAGTGCCCCAATCATCATACTACCTGCTGGCTTCTATTTTCTTTTTTATTAAGGAATTTATACAGTAATTACAAAGGCATGAACAATGCAAATCCACTTTTAAATGAACATAACCCTAATATCAAAACCTAACAAATATCAGAAATTATAAACCAATATTATTTATAACATTAGGCAAATATCAAAAATAAAATATCACATAACTAACTACAATAGTGTATTTTAAAATTGTATTAGCATAAAAATAGTATTAAAAGACTTTATAGACAGACTCTATCATGCAGTGGTTAAGGGAGCCAGATCCCACATGGCTTACCATGGTTCGAATGGTGACAAGTAACACAACAGGCGTGTGTGCGGGCACTCACAAATGCATGACAGGAAGGAGGGATGGAAGAGAAGAAGTTGTGGTGTGGTCATGCTTCATCGGGGGATGCTTTCTCCCCTTTTTCTCTCTTTGTCTTTCTGTTTCTCTCTGGCAAGTGCACATACCCAACAATTTAAAATAATTGATAAATACAGTCTATGGTCTGGACTTCTAGAAAAATTAAAATACGCACACACACACACCAATATATGTATATAGTCTACTGTATTAATAGTTTAAAAAGTGGGTTCAGC